TGCAGATGTGCCTGGCAGGGTGCGTGCTCTGGATGGCGTGCTCTAGAAGGGCATCTCCAGACGTGTTACAGGGAGGGCACTAAAGTCTTTTCTCAAGAACACTGTTGAGGGAATCCTTAAACCAGCCGCGTTGACAGAAGTAGCGAACCTTTAGTCAGTAATGTATTGGCATTTAATTTCCAGACCACTACCTTCCTGGGCAAGGTCAAAAATACTGAGAAACTTCTTCTAGGATGCAGCACACAGACCTGTGAAATAACGAAATAAGGGGATGAGTTACCTATCCACGCTTGAACAGGTTCTGAAAAATACAGTCTTAATATGCTATTCGGTACAGGGACAATGCAGACACAGCTGGTAAAGCTCCTTTATATTAGCACATTTGGAGGTAAAATACTGGGCTTGTGTTCTCTTTGGAAAACAAACCAGTTGCATCTCAAAGATCATAAAGAGCTGTTCATTTATGTCTGGGTTTGTGGTCTCAGGGCTGTTGTATCTGCATACAGATTGATGCATGTTTGCCGAGGAGATTATCTGGTAGGTTTAAAAAAAGGTTTCTAAAAGCCACGTGCTAATTTATGACTGCAAAAATCTAGGGGAAATTACTACAGCCTTAAATGCAGTATAATCTGATCATTTGTACAGCTTTTATCTTAATTTAGAATTCAGATTTATGTTCTTGTGATAGATACCTAAATATTCAATATTCTTACGTTGAAGAGGAGGGAATGTTAATGCTGCTGACGCAAGTCCTGTTTCAAATTTCTTGTCAAGTCACAGAAACACAGAGCCCAGGTCCTCAAAAACTTGTGGTATAATTCTGTAGAATAATTCTCAGATATGGTCTTAGTTGTATCCAACAATAATTACAGACAGCAGGAGGAGGATGGGAGGGAGGAGTGGAAAAAGGAATCTTATCCATAAGGAAGGAACCCTGGGCCTTCTGGTGTTTTCCTGGCTCCGACTGCCATCTACTGTTTTGTCAGCCACAGTGAGCTGCACAGCTGATTTTGAGTCTGCGTGAATCTCCTCCGAGACAGAACTCCGCCTGCGTACACAGGCAGGATAAATGGTACAGAACCACCCCTCCAAGGGACCGCGGAGGAGGAAGATCTAACACCGCAAGTTGACGAAGAGTTCCTATGAAACCTCAAGTATTTGAGGTACCATCACTTCCTCTGAATTCACTGCTTCACAGGGTTGTAAGCATGGTCCCTACCGAGCTAAGGACAGACATAACAAAGCATAAACTTTGATATTCCACTGCATAAAAAGGAGGTAGGCTTCTGTTCTTCACTACTGCTGTGGTACAGCACATGCTGTTGTATTTGGAGCTTCTTTTCCTTTCACTTCAATGGCTGTACGGAAGACCTGATTCCTAACTAAAGCAACATTGGTGTAGGGAGAATCATCCGAGTGTAAAACTCATCATTGCAACTGTGCAAACCAAGTGTAAGTACAACACACAATGTATAAACTCAAGCTAATGTAGCCACCATTGGTATAGGCTATAACTTCTGGACCAGGATGTACATACACCATTATTTTTAGCATCTTAATAGCTTGAATTGTGCTAGGAAATTCTTTCTGCTCTACTGAGGGAGATCTAATCCATCCTCCTCAAACAGGCAAGCATGTAGCTCTTTAACAGAGGCATAATGTGGTCTCAGCTGAGTGCGCTCCTCAAGTTTGTTGTGGATGTTGCACATAGCTTTGGAGGGTGTCAGATTTTGGTTTTTGTTTGTTACAGCAGGCTGACAGTGGATAGTGGGCACAGAGGACATTTCTTCAGCACAGATCAGTACTACCTATTTTTAAGTACTGATCATTTTAGTCTGGAACTAAAAATCAGTACCCTACTCTGAAGGCCTTTGTTAAGAACAGCAGTAGGCTCTGTAGCAACTATAGTGATGATGCTGATCATTCAAATTCTCAAAGCAAAGGTGAAGGGACTGGTTAAATTTGGACACATTGCCCTTTAATTTCCAGTAGTATTCCTTCAAATTTTTCACATGCTCCAGTTGCTGAATCTGTCTGCCTGATCTCCTCCTTGCACTTGTAAGTTTTTAGTGTTCTTCACTCAAAGGAAGACTCAAACTGCAGTAGAATTTGCCAGCTAAAGTCACAAGCTGTCCACTAAAAAAAAGGTATGCAAGAAATCTTCCTGTACCCTGGACTGCTGATGTCTTCATGAGGAATATTCATGATCTTAATTTGACAGTCTATCTGTTCGATCTGTGGTAACTGGTTTTCCTTTCCGACTGTCTCATTTCCCAGCAAACACTATTATGTAAATATAACTTTATCTCAAATTATTAAAAAATCTAAGATGATTGTCACTCCGTCTTTCAGAGCAACAAAACCAGTTATTTTATTGTTTTGAACATTCAGGGACTACCTCTCGTATATAATCTCTCAAAAGCATTTTGATTACACAGCAATTATGACTTATCTGTTTTACTATAAAAACACTTGCTACAAAAATCTGCCACAATTGGGCTAGCACAGCACCCAGAAGAAAATGCCTTTAAAATTAATAATTACATTTCGGTGTCCTTTCACATGACAAAAGAAGTGGCCACATATTACATGAAGAGTTATCCAAGAAGATAAAGCTTAGCAAAGTAGCAGACAGGTATTTCTGATCGTGTTGAAAGGGAGCCTGAAGTTGAAAAGAAAGCAGACAATCGATAAAAGCTGCCAAAGCTGCCATTTAGAGAGTCAAAAAAATGAGGCTGGTCTCCAATGCAAGCAGAGTGAGAGGGCCAAGATGGGAAATTCACATAAATTTTTCCTCTTTGAGGAAATTATTATTTCCTCAATAATAATAAATTATAATAATAATAATTTATTATTAGGAAAGCTAACAGTGAGAAAGCTACATGCTTCAACCAGCTGATGGGGCTCCAAAACAAATCACAGGCAAGATAATCCGTAAAGTTTGATCTCTGAGGCTGGAGATGATTAATGTACCCTGATCTCATCGGAAGGTGTTGGAATATTCACTCTAAAATCCTACTGTAGGTGTATACATAATCCCACTTATCTAAAAACACAACAATTTATGATCTCTGTGTAACAGAGGCCAAGACGACAAGTGTTTGACTCAGAGGAAGTTTGAAGCACACAAATCCAGCTTGTTGGGGCCCAGCATCGTACTCTGATGAATGATAAGAAAGACAACACATCTGAAGCTGCTGCTAAAGCATATTTATTTCGAATGTGTTCTCCCATCTCAAGTATTTTTTAGACGTCTCCATTTCACAAATAAATCAGTTTTAAAAAGTTATGCAAATTTGTTATACGAAAGCCATAGAAATGGTACAGTAGACATACTTCTCCATAGAAATGGTACAGTAGACATACTTCTCAAGAAAATGATGATTGCACATCATTTACAGCAATAAAGTTACAGTGAAACGTTCAAAAAATTTTTACCCTTGTCAATGGGAATTTAAAAAGTAAAATTAATGCAAGTCTGGCTTTTTAACTTTTTCAATAAGACCTTTAAATAGCAGGCTGATCTCATTAACATTAATCATCTGGCATTAGCTAAAACTTCAAATTAAGTATTTCCACAAAATCTGCAAAAATCAACTGATATAAAAGACTGAAATTTATAATAAGGGATCTGTTGAAACTTCAAGACAGAGAACACCATTTTCCAAAAATAAAAACAGCAGTACAACAAGGTTTTCCAAGGCATTGCTGTGTCTTAACTGGACCACCAACGACACAACTTTCTTTTTAGAGACTGAAAAATCAGTCTAAAGACTGTTCTAAGTTAAATATTTTTTTTAAAGTGCATTAATTATTTGAACAGTACAGTAATACTTTTAACAAACCTAGACATAAAAATGCAAAGAACCAGTACAGTTTTTGAAGTTTAGAACAACTGACACCAAGAATGAAATTAGTATTTTAGATATCTAAACCTTTTAGGTTCAGATATGTATCTTCTTTTGTGCCTGTATGCTCTGTAACACAATGGAAACTTGATCCTGGTTGGTCAGATTTCATAATTTACAGAAAATTATGTAAAAAATCTGTACTATGGGCTTATTTTTTTGCCAGCTGAGTTACTGAAAACTCTTTTGAATTTTAACGATACCTTAGCCTTTGAAACACACTCGCCCATGGAGAAACCCAAACAAAATTAATATGAATTATAACTGCCAAGAATAAGATAGAGGAACTAGTATCAGCTGATTCCAAAGGTCAAATGCAAATCATACTTCATCTTAATTTAGAGTAAGTTCATTTGGCATTAGAGGGTGTGCTCAGAACTTTTTTCTGGGACACACGCATATTTTTCTGGCACAATAACTATTATTTTTGCAACTGTAATGAATTTGCAAGCGCACTGGCCACGTAAGAGGCTAAAGAAGAAACTGCGTTTATCAACCATAAGAAAGGTAGAATGATGACTACAAAACCAACGACAGCTAAGTAATAAAGCTTTAAATTAGAGCCAAAACTACAAGCAACTAAAAAAGGTTCAGAAATGTGTGAACTACCTCTACAAAACTGTTTACAAGGAAAGGAAATGGATACACTGATGACACCAAAGAAAACAACAGATGAGACAGAGAAAGACTGGATAAACAGTAATGCCTTCATCTTTTTGGGTTCAGGATCACATGTGATGATGTGGTGTTAAGACAGTGAATTTTGTCACTTACGGAACTAGAGATTTGTATTTATCTAGTTATCAGAGTCTCTCGCTATGCCTTCCAGTGTGGTATAAAACTCAAAAATACTGGTTGTATGTATTTGCTTCTTTTTATAGATCTTTATGCAATCATGATGTTAAACACTTAACAGTGAAAGCGTACTTAGAACATTGGTCCAATCTCAAAACACTACTTAGCAGTCACACCAGTACTGAAAGACTATCATCGATTTATCTATCTTTTTATCAGGTTCAAGGTGTAGAACAACCACCACATGGGAGTATGAGACAATGTTATGTAACTACATTTAAGGTGTAGTTTTGGTACTCAGTTAGTTGCATCATCCCTTTTCAGAGGAATTACTTGAAGTGCTTTGGCTATTCTCTCTCCTATAGCTCGACTGCTTGCCGCAATTATTCTTCGAGACATCAAATCAAATGGTCCACCTAGAAATCAACACAAGCAAAGTAACTAGCTTGTATCTGGAGAAAATAAAAAGTTGGAAAGAAAATGAGCATTGAACAAATAGTGTAAATGATACCGTTCCTATTTAGGACCAAGTTTTGACCCTGGATAAAAATGCATTTAACACAACAGGTATCTCATATGAGCTACATTTAAATTCTCTTCAGTGTTATGTTTACTGTCTTTCTTCCACTCTTCCAGGCACTCAGCCAAGTGAGTAAAGGTTGTCTTGTAGCTGAATAACATACAATTGATTCTCTCTTTGTCTATTAACTCGATGGGAACTCTGCTCAGTAGTGGCAAGTTGGAAAGTGGATTGAAAAACCTCTTTGCCCTCCCATTTCAGCTATGTTTTGCTCCCAATTAGCTATTTAAAAGGACAAAAAAAAAAAAAAAAAAAAGAGTATCATGCATGCCTGTGTATTTACCTGATACATCTAGCAGTACTCCGCCTGCTTCAGTAATGATGATTCCAGCTCCTGCCATATCCCAGCAGTGAATGCCCATTTCATAATAGGCATCAGCTCCACCCGTTGCCACAAGGCACATGTTCACAGCTGCTGTACCAACAGCTCTAATCCTGAAGGAGACATTGTCATTTTAATCGAGAACAGTTTGTAAGAAAGTCACAATGTCTGTGTACACTGCACAGGGCACACAAAAGAATAATAGCAAAGTGAACTGAGCTAGAGAAAGTATGATGGAATGCTGCAGTGAAACAAATAAAAATTTGGAAATGAAGTTTTGCCTTAAATAGCTTGAAGAGCTATAGCAAATTTTGAGAAATAACGCTTATGAATTCTATTAAACAATTTTGGTTTAGAGTGGAAACACATCTTAAACACTTCTTAACCTAAAACATACTACGGAAGATATCTACCTACGAAACAATAACAGATATTCTACTTTGCTTTTTGAGTACAAGAATTTGAGTGGAGTGTACACTGCTCTCAGCGCTGAAAACACAGTTACTTCAGTTTCTCTGGTGATGCTCGATAAACATCTCTGACTTGCAAAAAAACCCCAACAGCAGTAATCACATAAAACAAATTGCACAGCATAAATTTGGTCTGGATAACTTCATCAAAACCCTTGTGTTACAAATTCCAGCTTCTTTTGGAAATGTTGATGCACTTTGTAAGTAAGTGTGACTTGTATGAGTAATTGCAGTTATTTCAATTATCAGTAAAATGTACATTAAATGGTAACTGATAGCAGCTAAGTTACTACAAGAAGCAACTTATATAAACTCTCAATTTATTGTTTACAAATAAAATACCAAAGTTGAACTGACAACCTACCTAAAATGTATTCCCTACTTACAATGTAGCATATATTCTTTAACAACATCAGACAACTTTTTGAAAGTACAAAATAAATCTACATGTTAAGTGTCAAAACAAGAATCCTGAGAATCTCAGCATGAAACTATAACTCCTTTTAGATCAAAAACATGAGTATCCTTGAGCAACAAAAAACTGTCTACTGAAATCACCTTTAGACATAAAATTGTTTGTGGAAATACATGCTTTGGCTTATCTGGAGGAGAGGAAGCAGGGAATGTAATTAAAATAAGAGCAGTTTATGGACAACTTCAACTAACTGGACAAATTCAAGAAAATTGTATGGCATTGAATGAGGAAATGGAGATCTACTTTTGTCTTCCAACATATATAAAAAAGATCAACAATGATTTTCATTACTACAGGGAAAGGAAACTAAGAAATAGAAAATAGCTTCTGTTTATCCAGGTTTACTCTTTGTGTGTTTCTGAAAAAAAACCACAAGACTGTACCACATTTTCTTTAACTAGTAAATACTTTTTAGTCCTACAAAACCAAACATGCTTTGCTTCTCAATACTGATAGTTAGGGTTCTCTTATGTCCCAGCTTGAAAAAAGGTAAACACTTAAGAGTTTCTCTGCAGAAGCTACTACACAAAAACATTTAAATCACATTTTACATTTAAGGTGTCAAATGTAATGCAAACCATCCATCCTAAAAATGATAATATTTACATATTTACAATATTAACTCTATCAGTAAATATCAAAAATAGGAGAAAAATAGGAGATATCTTACCCATGAATAGGAATACTGAGAAGTCTTTCCATGTTAGAAAGAATAATTTTTATCGTCTCTGGATCACGATTTGATCCCAATTCTGTTACTAAAAGGGATTTTGTAATGTCTGGAAAAGAAACAAAACCTCACTTTTCCAACAGCACAACTAATATAATGACATTACAGGAGAAATTAGGAGAATTTACTTCACTGCTTTCTTACAAGACTGAATAGAAGGCATTTAAATATAAATATTACATATATTGAATGTATAAAAATCCATTCTTAAGTGGCAAATAGCAAATACAGCAAACAAAGCATGGTCTGGTTCAATTCTGCATACAAATTAATCTATGTCATTAGTAAATAAAATTCTATTGCTACAAAAAAATAGAACAGTCCTCAGATCTTTAAAGGCCCAACTTTAAATGTGGATTTTGCTTTACATAGGGTAGTAAGTACACAAGAGTGATACTAATTTAAACCACGAGTTCACACCTGGAAGAAATTGAATTGTTCAGTAGATGCGTTTCAGACTCTAAAGCACTATCACAGAGGGATTACAGACATACAGGGAATTAAAAACAAACAAACAAACCAACCAACCAACCACAACACACAGGGAATAAAATCTTCACTTGCCGAGTCCTGATTTCAGAGAGATCACAAGCATGTTATATGCATCAAACAGAACATAAAAGCTGTTTCTCATAACACGGCCAAAAAAAGCCCGTCTTTCCAAAACAAAATTATGAGCTAAGAAACAGGAATCTGTCCAGGTCTAAAACTGTTGATGCCTCATTTGCCAAATAAATGTAATTACTAAAAATAAGCCACTCAGTTCAGCTTACCTTCTTGGCCTGATACTTTAAGTTTTTGACCATTGCAAAATGCACCTTTTCCTTTTCTGGCAGTATACATCTTGTCTTCTATACAACTATACACAATTCCAAACTCTATCTGCAAGAAAAAGTAAAGATACCTTGAGGTTTTTTTCCCTTTCTTCCTATTTACTGTGAAAATACAGATCTTAGTTATAACTAGCAACAAGGAATTAATTTGTTTTGCTTGATTAGATATTAAGTAATAAAAAGTATACCTTTTTGTTTACAACAAAGCCAATTGAAACTGCCACAAATGGAAACCTACAAAACAAAACATTTCACTAATTTATAGTGAGATACTATGCTTCTTTTATTACCATGCTTACTCTTAATAAAAACAATGTTCAGTTAAACATAATGTATATTGGAAAAAGAACCTTGGACTATATAGGAAATAGTAGTTTTCTGGAACTTGCACAACTTACTATGAAAACAGACTCAACAACACCGATTACCATTTAAAATACCAACTTTTCCACCCACTGAAACCATCCCTGTTACAGCTGTTATTAGCATAGGGACTGTCCTTTTATAGCCTCTGTGCTACTAACCTTTCTCAGAAAGAACAAGCTGGCCAGAACAGCCTCATCACAAGAAGCAAGTCACCTCTCCCCCCACCTCCGCTTTCTCCACCAAATCAATGAGAAAGAATTCAAATTGAGAAGGAAGAATGCAGGGGGAAGAGTGAAGGCAGTGGGAATATAAAAGACATAACGGGCTGCATCCTAGTTGTACAAAGCTTTTAACACTCAACCAATTCAATTTTTACTCTTCAAAATTCTTAGTTCCAAAACATTTGCTTTAATTACTATCTGCAAAAAAATAGAGACTTTTAAGTCTGTAAATCCAGCAGAATAGGTTCTTTTCTTACAGCTTTTTGAACATTTAGCAGGATTCAGCAGCTGTTTAAAGCCATGGAGCACAAGCATCAATCATTTCAAAACTGTAATCAAGCACACTCAGAAAAGCTAATCAGGGCCAAAATCTATCGCATTTCAAAGACAGAAGGAACAGGCAGCCAGCGTGACACTGAAAGTCCTGTCCCCACCCTGGTGCAAAACACCACTAGACTATCACTGGCAACATTCTGGTGTCTTTCCGGGTAGCAGCTCCTAGATCTCAGTGAATTTGAAATTTCTTAGAAATCAGCTCTTGAAGCTGCTACTGCTTCTCAACAAAGCCTCTCTGAAGATGATGCAACTCCTAATTCCAACTCCTGTTGCTTTACTATTAAAATCTGCCCACCTATCTTTGGCACCCACGCCAAAGGCTGCTGACCCCTGCTATACAGTACAGGCCTCTCATGGAACAACTGCTGATGGTTACAGAGTGAGACTATTATAATACTTACAGAAAAAATAAATTATTACAAAACCTGCCCAATGGCTCTCAATAAATGCAAATAGCAATTTGTAACTATTAACAAGTTCATAGTATCTCTTTTAAAGCAATTTAAAAGTGAAAAAACCTTACTTTCATGGAACTGGAGAAAGAAAAATGTAAAATGTAAAAAAAGAAAGGTGGACCTGTGTACGAAGTTTGTAGTTCCGTCAATAGGGTCTATAATCCATGTGGGGTTATCTGTCAAAATGCTGCCCTCTCCAGCTGCAACAGATTCTTCTCCAATGAAGCTAGAGTAGCAAATGCATTAAAAAGAGACAAAGAAACTGTTTAAAAGGTCTGAATTACAACCCTGCACTTGAAATTCTTAAAGTGAGAGGCAGGTTTTTTTACCATCAGTGATAACACGTAAAAAGTTGAGAAATACACAATTTATCTGGAAAGCACCAACCACATCTGACCAAGCTTCCATTGATACTTATGATGTCAGAGACAGGCACAATATGTGGGGAAAATAACTACATTTTAATATCCACTACTGGAATTCATCATTCAGAACACTGAAGTTTTAATCATTTTCTCCAGCAACAGCATCATCAAATTTTGGTCAGAATACAGTAGCTATTTATGCCTTTCAGTTTATTTGTACTATAAAACCACTACTTTTTAGCTTGTGTTTTAACTAAAGAAAGCCTTTGTGGCCACACGCATCTGGTTAGACCACTGCAGTAACTGCTCAATTTGTAGTCTTATTTCAAGCCAAATATGACAGAAAGTTGTTATTCTCAAAACTGTTTAGTTTTACAAGCATTACAAAAGTGGAAACATGGTAAAGGGATGAAATCCAAACCAGAACTACTCGTGAAGAAGACGGTGGCGTGTATGCTCGACCATAATACTAAGCCCAAGGGATACACAAGACACAGCGCCACAGGAACCCAAATTTCACCATTTTTGCTGCTCATAAAAGAATACTTTTATGTTTTGAACTGCAAAATTACTGAGATGAGTGTAAATGGGTGAAATTCTCTTCTATGCCTTTTGCATGTTGCTAAATTTATCACATATTACTCAACCTATAAAGTATGCATCAAACACATACTTTCCTCCCCAAACATGTAAAATGAGAACTGATAATAAGTACCCTTTATTATTGATTAGTTTCATGATTAACTACAGAAGTGAAGATGATTGCTCAGAAAGAAACTGCATGTTTCCAAAAAGCAGTGGATCTTCACAAAGAGAAGACAGAGACTGAATAGTTATTTAGGTGGATGAGTAATTCATCAGAAAGAGAAATTCAACACCAGTATGTCTAATGTGACATCAATTATCTAAAATAAAAAGAAGCTAAAATGTTCTGAAGTGTTTAACAGTGTCACAAAACCTGTTATTTCAAGGTCATTCCATAAGTCTGTGTGCTTACACTGATCTGGTTAGTTACTGACATTTTGCATCACCTCAGCTGTTCCAATTTTATGCATATTTATTATGTTTCACATATACAGCTACGATGAGAAAATCCTCAAGATAATGCAAGATAAATTATCAAACCAGCTTTAAGGAAACTGTATTAAACTTGAGCCATTATGTCAAAATGAGAAAAAGTCTCATATACATATAATTCACCCTTCAAGAATAAATTTATACTGGGGGGGAGGACGGGCAGGAAAAAAAACAGGAAAGAACAATTAAAAATTAGTATTTTTCTATCACAGACTTTCAGTTGTGCAGAATCAGAAGATCCTGTATTATTTTAAGTTTGATGTTCGTAAACTGTATGAGATTTGCCAAAGGCACACTCAGTACCATGGGACCCATCCAGCATAGACAGCGAAGGCATGCTAGTTTCAACAGCCAACAAATGACAAGAAATTTGGGTTCTGTGTGTGGTGGGGCCACCTTTGATTTTACAACATAAAAACTTATTTCCAGTTGGCTGAACAGCAAGTGACTTTCAGCATAAGTCTTGAGCAAGGCTAACCTCATGTCAGTCAGGGGATGTCTTGTTTTGTTAGTACAGCCCTCTAAGCTAATGACAAAATTAGCTGGCAATTAATTTAGAAGCATTTAGGCAAAACTTCAACTCACTACTACTGTAAAATATTTTAAATATACTGAGCATAAAGGAAAATTCTGTAACTTTTCAGCATGACAGTCACAATGAAATTTTACCACACAAAATCATAAACTTTCCATTTTCTTCTTCCAGGAACTTTTCCCCTTCTTCTATCAAAAGTGTATTGATAAGAAGCAGTACCTGTGAGAAGGATACTTTTCTTTTACCGAAGAAATAATGAAGTTTTCTACTTTTTGATCAGTTTCTGTCACTAGATCTACTGGTGAACTTTTAGTCATAACAGATATTTCTTCTTTGAGTGCTCCACGGATTATCTGTTAACCAAAAAAAAAAAAAAAAAAGCTTTCCCCATTAACAGTACAGAAAATATTAGTTGTCCCAAAAATCTGAGCATCATTTTTATTGTGATTTTCTATACTGCACATACAAAACACAGAAACAAGCAGTGACAAAACCTGGATTTAATTGCAGGAGCTGTAGCTTACCCTTGCACCTATCTCCAGTCCCTACTCAGCACAAGTTTTCACATGATCTTAAATCTAAGTACTACAAGAAGATCCACTGGTACCTGAAACTGAGTTCTATTTTGTTAGGACAAGTTTCAGATCTATAAATTTAAATACCAGAGTTGAATGAAACACTTAAGACTGAGCTTAAGTTAGCTATTTTTAGCCAGACCCTGCACTTATGATCTTAAAACTATCAAGTAGGAATCCATGCCTCACAGCCCACAAAATTATTCTACTATACCTCAGAAAAATTTTCTGAGGGAAGACTTTAATGAGGTCATTGCAGGGACAATGTTCTGCAGATTCTGCAGCTCCAGGAGACAGAATCGGTATATGTGCCATCTTGCCTGGCTGCAATAGCATTCAGATGTACCAAGCAGTACTATCAAGAACTGCACATTTCGTAACCACTCTTATGCGGAGGCTCTGCCAAGATGTGCAAAATGTTTCCTGTCCTAAGCCATCTTAGATCACAAGCAGGCAAATTACTGCCACTGCAGGGAATGCTTCTTATTTACAGAAGTAAAGCAGCCTTCATAAAGAGAACACAATATGGTATCTTGTGCCAACAATAAGCCACTGTATAAAGCTGACCGAGGCGTTCGCAAGAAAGACTGTCAACAGCTTTTGGGTGGTAAAAATATTAAGGTAGACAGGTGGAGTTTAAAGGAAAAAACAGAGATGCTCTTTGTTTACCACAATTCGGAATTTTTCATTTATTTTTGTTTTAATCAAATTTAAGGAACAAAGGATGCTCCTTGGTCTTTAATCAGACTCCACTCCATAGAAAGGTGCAAAGTTGTTTTCTTAAATTAACTTAGCTGTAAACATAGAAGACACTCCAATCTAGAACTTGAACATCACTGATTGATTCTGCCATTTTATGTTTTTAACAAAATACTCCTCCAAAGAATATCCAACATCAAACTCCTTCAAAAGCTACATACACACTAGACGCAATAAGTAATGTTATTATTTATAAATACTTACCTCCCCAGCTTTCCTTGCTAAAGCAACTGCATAATCCATACATTCTTGCCAAGGATCTGCCATCTTTTCTTAGATATACAGCCTACCAAAAGGACAGATTAAAACAAAAAATATTATGGCTATTTTTTACAAATTCTACCCTGTTCTGGACTGCACTGTTTTCTCCTTGCTGGAATATGGAATTTTTTTATATCCTTTACTCTGAAAAAAAAAAAAAAGTATTAAAAGGACATCCCCACATTTTTTGATCAACAAAAAAGCATAACATAAAACATTAAGAAGTACAGAGCTTCAGTCCTGAAAGACACATGCATATACAAGAGTCTACATTTAGCCACTGACCTCAATGTACATAAAGGCTCTGAAAAGCAACAGTGTGGTTACACGCAAGCACATTCTCAAATACAGTCTACAGCTCAGGGCTTTTTTGCTGAAAAATACTAGACTCTCCACTGTAATTTATTGCAGAAGACTGCTGACATACCATTTAGTCTATTTTTAAGTATGGTTTAAATTACTTTGAATATCTTAAATTAGATTAGTATCTTAAACCCAAAATCTATCCTTTCTGTATTTCAGTCCTCCATCCTTTATTCCAAACACAAATGTGGAATGGTTTTGATTGTACACAAGAAAGTTACAAGATCCCACAGTAATTTAAAAATGTCTATTCTTAAGTATTATGAAGCAATACAAGCTACCTTATCTTCTATGGATCTCTACATTCAAGAGCAATGTGAAATACAAATCAGCATATCATATGTTATTTCTGATTTAACAGGCCACAAATTCATACAGTGACTCAAAGGCATCCTGAATTTTGGAAGTTTGTTTCATTTTTGTGACCTAGCCCTTTCAGAAGCCTTCTGGGTACGTCCTACTTACGTGATTCAGTCTTTGAGTGATGACCTGGGTAACAGTTTCGTTAACACTTGCAGATTCACAAATATTAGATAAATGATTATAAAAAAACAACACTGAAACTGTATTAAAAACCCCGTGCAATTAACATGATCCACGAGCCTCCAGTCCAATCACCCTGACCTCATGGCCCTTGCCTCTTTCAGTCTTGGTTCTGAACAGCTACGGATGGCTAGAAAAGCCAGGCAAAACACACAGGGTATGGTGCGTTAGTTATGCTGATAATGTTCTTTACTTGTAAAAGCCTTCAGAGTACAGGCTGTGTTTTATCAGGACACAGAAGTGGGTACAATAGCACTGGATAAAGTTACTCTATTGTTTATAAAAGATCGGTAGGACTAGCGGAGCCTTAAGTACACTGACATCCAGTACAACAGCACAGCCTCATGTATCAGAGGAAAAACAAATCACATATAAAACCTCACCAAAACAGTAACTCCAGAACACGTACTCTAGTTAGATACCAGCGCCTACACTGACTGGAAGAAGTGTACTCTTTTCCCCAGCTTAGTTTTGTCCCCTCTGTAAGCCCCCTGACGAGTCTGCCACAGAAATTCAGGGCGTGCATTCAGAGCAGAGGTGTGGACCCCGGGCTGGAAGGGCTGAAGAGCGGCCCACACGGCGCGGCCGGGGTGAAGGCACTTCCCTGTGTGGCCCGGTCCCGGCCATGGCAGGGCCACACAGCCCCCGGGGCAGCGGTGCCATCCCCCTCACGGTACCCCGAAATGGCGGCTGAGTAAGGAGGAAGAGGCTCACCGCTCCCGCGCTCCACCGCTGTCACCTCCACCGCAGCCTGCCCTCTCGGCGAGGAGCGCAGCCGCGCCACTGCGCAGGCGCCAGGGCCGAGCCCGTTAACCCCGCCCACCCCGCCCGGTGTGCCGGGACTGCTGTTGCGCATGCGCGGTGTGTGAGGGAAGGGTTGGCATGTGGAGCTGGGTCTGTGCCCGCGCCGTCAAAATTACTGTTAAGAGGTTGAATTTAGCTTTGAATGTCGACTTGTTGTGGATAATTGGACGTGACAGGATGGAGATACCATAAATGCTCTCCCATGGAGCTCGCGTTGGGCGTTTAACGGGGTTTTTAGTTGCTGAAGGCACCACAGTTGTGGCTGCGTTGTGCGCCGTGTGGG